TTAAGTTAACTGCCAAGAACAGAAGCCTTAAATATACAGAATGCCCCCTGGAATCCCCAGTGTCTAAAACGCCAACCTCCACTGGCTCTCAGGACCCTAGAGAAAGAAAATTGCAAGATTGTTCAGCTCGTCTCAGGCCTGAGGCTGGGCGAGTTCCCAGTGATCCCTAGGAGATCACGTCCAGAACTGTGTGCTCTGAGAGGAGCCCGGGATCCACCAGTCAAGCCCCTCACTCAGGGATCCAGTTATTCTTAGTCTTTGGAAACCTGGCTCTAGAAGCTTCTCCCCAGGAGGACTAAGGACAAAGGGACTGGCTGGAGCAGAGACACAGCAACACTGTGCTTTGCTTCTGTGTACTCAAAACTGGAGAGACCCAGACAAGGGGGATGGTAAGGCAGCCCAGTCTCCCCAGGGATTACAGATTGGCCTCACTCCACTCTGTAGAGCAGTGGGGCTCATCCGGGGGCTATTTGGAACCCAGGGGATGTTTGGCAATGTTTGGAGACATTTTTGGTTGTCACAGCTGGGTTGGGAAGGTGAGGGTGCTACTGGCATCTAGTGGGTAGAGGCCAGGGATGCCACTAAACATCTTGCAGTGCCCACCACAAAGAATGACACAGCCCCAAATGGCACTAGTGCCGGGGTGAGAAACCCTGCCCTGAGGTCTTGGTTTGGTGCATTCCACCCACATCGCTGAGGAAGCTCTATCTGGGGCCTCTTCAAAGACTCATTCTGCAACCAGGAAGGCAGCAGCCCACACAACTAGGCAGACACTGGGAGAGAGAGAAGGCAGGACCACGCACACAGGTTTTAATTTACTGCATCTTTCTTCCTGACAGAGAGAGGTCAGTGTCTGCCTCTGTTTACAGGCATCAGGACCAAGGTGGAGGCTGTCCCTGGGTAGTAGACTGAAGATGTCAGATCCCAATCTCTGGAGCCTGTGAATGTTACCTCATGTGAAAAAATATGATCTTTGCAGAGGTGATTAAATTAAGGATCTTGCAATGGGGAAATTATCTTGCCTTATCTGGGTAGGCCCTAAATGTGTCTCAGTCAGTTTTCTGTCACTTAGAATTCCTGAAAGTGGATAATTTATAAAGAAGTGAAATTTATTTCCTACACTTTTGGAGGCTGCAAAGTCCAAGATCAAGGGGCTGTATCTGGTGAGGGCGTTCTTTCTGGTGTCTCTGCAGAGTTCCAAGGCTGTGCAGGGCACCGCACGGCAAAAAAGTTGTTATAGCATCCGTAGGAAACCAATCTAACCTAATACACCTAGGGCCTCCAAATTGATTAGCTGTGGCCGAATGGTAAACCCTTCCACACAGACAAAGCTGGAGAGGGGGAATGGAAATTTCCTTTACACTTCCCGTGATACACATACCTCTCCCATCCTCCCTTTGAAGCACCCTCCCCTGTAAAAAAAAGTGGCATGTGCCTCCCCTCTGCCTCTATCAGTCAACAATTTCCACTGAATTCTGGGCAAATCATATGGTACTCCCAGTGCTTGGTTCAAACCTGTCTGAGTCACCTAGCACTTTCTACCTTGAATTCATGTCACCGATGTCCATGCAGAATGTCCTATACTAGACTGTGAGCTCCTGGGGCACAGAAACTTCATCTGATTTATTATTAAGTCTCCCAAGGCCCCCAGCACACTATCAAGAACACAGTAGGTGCTCAAAAAATGGCTAATGTGTTTTCTCCATCCTTACTATGAGAAATGATACTTAATTCTCTATTGCCTGGTGCTGGAGAAGCTCAAAGCTAAATCTGATGCTTATTATCAGTAATTCCCCAAGTATTCTAACAGCCCTGCAACAGCTGGTTGTGGGCACCATCAGTGTTCTTTGTTTTGTTTTTTTTTTTGTCTTTTTTGTGACCGGTAAGGGGATTGCAACCCTTGGCTTGGTGTCGTCTGCACTGTGCTCAGCCAGTGAGCGCACCGGCCATCCCTACATAGGATCCGAACCCGCGGCGGCAGCGCCACTGTGCTCCCAGTGCCGTACTCTCCCGAGTGAGCCATGGGGTTGGCCCTGTTCTTTGTTTTCAATTGAGGTAAAATGCACACAACTTAAGTGTACAGCTTGATGAATTTTTACCTGCATACACTTCCTCATAACCACTGATCAGATCAAGATCTATATCTTTCCATTATCCCAGAAAATTCCTTTGTTCCCCTTTCACAGTCAATAAACCCCCATGCTCCTTACACCCCAGTGACCCACTATTCTGACTTCTACTCCCATAAATTAGGTTTGCTTACTTGTGAACTTTATATAAATAGAATTGTACAGAATGCACTCTTGTGTCTGGCTTCTCTCTCTTAACATAATGTTTTTGATATTTATCTGTGTAGTTGCATGTATCAGCAGTTTATTCTTTTTTTTTTTTTTTACTGCTGTGTATTATTCCACTGTAAGGGTATGCCACAATTTGTTTATCCATTCTTCTGTTGATGGACATTTGTATGATTTCCAGTTTGGGCCTATTGTGGATAAAGCTGCTGTGAATGCTGCTGTATTTTGTGGACCTGTGCTTTTATTTCTCTTGGTTATGTACCTAGAAGTGAAATTGCTGGGCCACAGGGAGGGTGTCTGTTGGACTTAATAGAAATTAGTATCACTATTTTTGATTTGGATAAGAGAAAGAAAAAGATTTTTAGAAAAAAATGAAGTAGTGACAATCTTTCTGCATTTATTTTCTTGATTCCACTCATTATGTTAATTTCTTAAAGAAACAGAGTGTCTCTTTCCTGTGCTTCATGCATGGACTCAGCAGTAGACAAAGTTGGAGGGTCCTGAGGCATAAAGAACGGAGCCAACACACATTCACATGAACACATTCTCATATCATTTTCTATGCTTTCACACCAGCCCATATCTTTAAAACTGGTCTTTCCTGGCATTGGGTTTGCTTACACAGACAGAATCTCCATGAAAACAAGTATTTTAAGAAGAAAATTTGCTCTGAAATGAAGCCCTGATTGAAATGACAACTGCAGGCAGAAAAAGTATGTGGAATATGCAGGAGGGCAGCCATATGCTTCTGTGGTGTCCCTTCTGAGAACTGGAAGTCTCATTCCCTTGCCGAATCCACAGCTCTCCTAAGGCCTGGACACAGAGAGAACTGCCCTGCTTTCCCACTTGCCACCTCCCTTCACAAGTGAATATCTGAGTACCAGCTGCTCCCCACCTGAGCACCACTGAATTCAAGAAATCCTAAACAGCTTTGCAAAAGTGACTAGAGAAGGAGAAACTATTGTAAGGCCCTATGGTGTTGTCAGGACATTAAAGGCCGGTAGGCCAAAGGAAAGAACAGAAATGTCCTAGCTTGTCTTTCTACACGGTGTATTTTACAATAGCCATTACTCACTACAAGCGAAATTCCTTTTACCCAAATAGGCATTTCATACACTTTTTCGAATGGTGCACAGTGTTTGTTTTCAGATTATTTAATGTCCCACCCCTTCTGCTATTTAAAACTTTGATCTTTGTCTGTGAGGTGCATCTTATGCCTCACCAAATAGCAGCTGAGTGCAATTATACATTCCTTGGTCCTTTCTTTCAGAATCTGAGATGACACTCCTAGGATCCAATTGACTCCATCTATGTCTCATCTTTTACTTGATTTCCCTAAAATCCTTATACTGTCCTTTGCCCCTTTCTTCCCATCCATGGAAAAAATTTGCCATGTCTTTGTGACATCAAATAGTTTGATCAAGTCAACAAATAAGAAATGTCAATCACTTGGGTTTTGTATTTGGCACCAGGAAGTCAAAACAAAGGGGTGATTCAATATCTTTTTCTTTCTTTTTCTATCTTTTTTTTTGTTTGTTTTTAAACATTTATTTTTCCATTGCTCTCCTGCCATGTAGATAGTCATTTTCTGAACAAAAACAAATCACTTGCTATTTTATCTTCTTTGCCATTTTTTTTTTTTTTTTTTTGTGACTAGTAAGGGGATCGCAACCCTTGGCTTGGTGTCGCCCAGCACTGCACTCAGCCAGTGTGCGCACCTATGTAGGACCCGCGGTGGGAGCGCCGCTGCGCTCCCAGCCCCACTCTCCCGAGTGAGCCAGGGGGTAGGCCCTCTTTGCCATTTTTGAGAGACTGAGTGAACTTGTTCTGGAACTGTTTCCAGAACAGAATTTAGCTTTCTCAGTGGGGTTGATAAACAATGAAGTGGCAATTGGCCGTACATTTCTCATATTGCTTTTCTGCAGTTCAACTTCTATATGAGCTGTTTTAATGTATAACTCCTGGGATCTGTCATGATTTGGAGCTCATTTCTTTCATATTCGAAAAGGCACTCAGGGTTGCTTAGAAAGAAATGGGCACGGACTCTGGCAGAGACCTCCTTATTACAGAGGTCAATGCATCTGCAACTAGACCCCAACATCATGGACCTCAGAAGTGGTGGGGGATTGAGTTCCTTCCCCTATATATATATATATATATATATATATATATATAGAGAGAGAGAGAGAGAGAGAGAGAGAGAGAGAGAGAGAGAGAGGAAGATATATAAAAAATATATATATATTATATGTACTTTTTTTTTTTCCTGACCGGTAAGAGGATCGCGACCCTCAGCACGGTGAGGTCCGCACCACGCTCAGCCAGTGAGCACACCGGCCATCCCTATGTAGGATCCTAACCGCAGTCTCGGCACTACCAGCACTGCACTCTCCTGAGTGAGCCACGGGGCCAGCCCCCCAATATATTTTTTAGGAAAACTCTTCCTTCTTATTTTAGTTCCACTAGTACAATTAACATAAATTTTTAATCTAAGGTAAATTTTCGTTGTTGTTAATGTGTGATTTAACGATGCATAATTTAGAGTTTCCGCTTCTGCTTACAGAGTGCATGGGTGGGTGCTTCCGGGGGTTGCTGGGGGGGGCACTTCCTGTGG